GAATCTTTGTAATCATCGATTTGTATTAGTCCCATATAATTTGTTTTAACTAACAGCTGGTTGAATGTAATATTGTTCTATATAACTATTAGGTTTTTGGCGAATTTCCCATATAGGGAATAAGCTATTACCGTAGTACTTATGGTAACACCTGGACCCGGGACCGATTTAATTTTTCGTTTTGAGGTTCCTAGAGGCCAAAAACACCATCCGTTCAAATTCATATATACAGGGTGATCAACTCAAGGAGGCCACCATTGGGAAGTCGGAAACGGTAAGAATTAGAGAAAACATTAAATGGGGGACATTCCTTTATTTTTTGTGGCAGTTAAAAATATGATTTTAGTTTTTTTATCATGTTTTCGGATAGAATATGCAATTTAAAAACTTTTTTAGCCTTGACACTTTTTCGATAAACCCACTCGTTTAGGAGTACAGCCTATGGAAAAATGACTTCCGGTGTACATTTTACATCATGTAGCTCCTAAACGAGTAAGTTTAGAGCAAAATTGCAAAAAGTAAATTAGTCTTAGAATTGCATCTTCATTCCTTAAAGACTATAAAATAAAAAGTTTTCCACTTTTCAAGTTTGCCGCCATTTTTTTTATAATATAATTTATATTTTTAATTAATTTTATGGTCTTTTTGGAATGTGGATGCAATTGTAAGACTTTTTTACTCCTCGTATTTTTGCTTTAAACTTACATGTTTAGGAGCTACATGATTTAATATGTACACCGGAAGTCATTTTTCCATAGGCTGTAACTCCTAAACGAGTGGGTTTATCGAAAAAATGTCTAGGATAAAAAAGTTTTAAAATTGCCTATTATGTCCGAAAACATTATAAAATATAGGGTGTTCGATAAGAAATTTCAAATTTGGCCGCCATTTTGGAAAATGGCGGCTGAATTTCAAACGACTAAAATCATATTTTAAACTGCCACAAAAAATAAAGGAATGTCTTCCATTTTAAGTTTTCTCTAATTTTTACCGTTTCCGATATCCCAATGGTGGCCTCCTTGAGTTGATCACCCTGTATAGCCTATATTTATTTATATATTTTTCCTGGGGGGAACCCCAAGACCCCCTCCTTTTTGGGGGGGTATTCCATACCCCCCAGGCCCCCAGTGACCCCCCCCCAAAATATATGTCTAGGAGCGCCCTTGTCTTCTTTACCTATAAAACACATGGGATACAGCCTTTTCTTCACTGATCACGTAATGCGTGATTTTCTATAAAGTCTTGGAAAAATAAAAGGTAAAATAGATAAAATAAAGGTGTACTGTATGTGGTTTACACACAAATATTCATCAAACTGTGTGATATTTTGTTATTGCAATGAACAATTTGGGAGTATCGTATTGTGTCGTAGTCGTATTGTAAGTCGATGGAAAATCTCTGTTGATCCTGTTTTACAAGCAAACCAAAAAGATACATTAGTCACCACTCTATGCGACATATTCTAACCAGAAAATTGTAATCGTATGATTCTATAAGCATTGATAGGATTGCAAAGTACTTCACAAACATTATTTCAAGGGTAATAACAGTCACAATTTTCGCCGACTTTAAAAGAGTCAACTAAACTACTATACTAATGGACACACAACTAAATGAAACAACTAATGGAACAACTCACGATGTACATATAACAGTTCGATATAAGCATTGAGTATACACGTCAGTGGATACGTGTATACCGTACCCAATGATATAAGCAATGGTTCTTGCAATTTATTGCTTATTGTTTTTTAGAGTTGTTTTCGGACTTACTCTGTTTTCGGACGTACTCACACTCGTATAAGGTTGTCCACGTTTGTCATTGATAATGTAGCCATGTTACACCCGTTGTCACGAATATGTTTACAAGTTTTCCGTCTGTTTTTGAATAGCGATACATTTTTTCACATACTTAAGAACCACCTGATTTCGTGCATTACATGTTCGTCTCAATTTTAATTGCTTTAGTAGGCATTATTTTGGTCGATGAGGACTTCAATCGGTCCTTTCAATGATAGCTCATGAAATATAGTACTTTGTCCATTAATTTTATTGTTTGGTAAAATGGATTAAATTATCCTGCAAACCCAAATAGAAATAGTAAATATAGTATTTGAAACAAATCAGTAACATGTTAATAATGTAACCTACATTATTTCCTTGAATTGCATAACAGCAATTAACTGGGCTGATCCTAATATAAATAAATCAATATGTTCTTCATAGGCATAACATGAGCCGCTGGGGCTGAGCCCAAGGGATTTAAAAATGTAAGGTTGGTTTGCAAATGTACGTGACACGCTCTTTCTAATGAGACATGAATGGTCAAAATCACCTAAGAAATTCGGAGGAGTTCAACGGAAAAATTTCGTGTTGGCGTAGTCCTGGATTGGCTATTTTTTTTTTTTACAATATAGATAAAGTAGTGAGACTTGGTATATCAATAATATAATAGCCATAAATATCTACTGTCTTAAGCTATTATCACTGTTTAATCCCTTAAGGGGGATGGACCACAAAGACTAAGACAAAATTCTTATATAATTTTAATACTATTTTACCTGTTTTTAAAATGGCGACCATACAAATGTATGCATTTTAAGCCAAGTATGAATGGAGTTGAGTGTGTGATGAGTGGAGCGATCTTGTTGTCCTGTTAGTGACTAAGGCCGACGTAATCCTTAGACACAGCTGTTAATTAATAGTCCATATAGTCAATTAATAGCAGCAGAGGTCAAGTTTGGTAGGTATCAAATTAAAGGTTTTAATTATAAAAATACATTGCCGCAAACCCAAACTCAAACGATGATGATGATAATAATGTTAATGATGTAGCTAAAACGTATCGTTTGAAATTTAACAGCTGAAAATAAGTTAAACAGAAAAGGTTTTGGTTAAATCCATCAAATTGTTATTGGACACTAGTAAGTACTAGTGCACTTTTTTATATTGATTATATGATTATATTGATTTACTTTGGATTTTAAAAATGTGAACGTTTTATTTTATTAAAGATTTATGGTGATACGTAAATATTGTGGTGCAGTAAAGTATATTATATTGTAGTTAAAAGTTAAATTTTGAAATTTTAGGGTGAATCGAGATGAATCTTTTTTTATAACATGGGTCTCTCCTACCTACATACCAAGTTGGATACATACCAAGTTTCATAAACATCGGTTGGAAAAGTGTAAAGATAAATATTTGTATGTAAAAAATACAAAATGGCGGATATCTGGTTAACGAAACAATTTTGGAAAAATGTTATACTTCATTTTCTGTTTATTTTGACACAAGGAATTACTAGGTAAAGTATCTCTCCGCTTATTTTTAACACCCTGTTTATGATGTATTCTTATAAGTGAAAAATGTAAGCTGGTAATACAGAAAGATGTTTTATAAATAATATGAATGTACTGGTGATCTGTATATTCATCTTTTTCTTGTTCTTAGAACTGTAAATTAAAAGTCCACTCAGCAGTTGCATCGTACGATGTAGTTCTTTCCATGCGTTGCGAAATGTTAAATTTGCCGTCCTCTTCAACCCAAGTTATCTATTGAACCACTGATTGTAAAAAATTCAAAAAAATATATTTTACGCATCACACTTTTGGCTACAACTTTGCCACAGACAAAACCTCCTTAACCCAAAAACAAAAAAAATCTCGCATGCTAACTTTTTCATGCTAGAAATCACGATTTAAAACTATTTCACCATACATATCAATTTTTATTAATTAGATCGGTAAATAGTTTAAAGTTCCAACAAAATAGTCATCGAGTAGGACTAACCAAGAAGCTGTGGGCCAATTTTCAAAATTTTAGCACAACTTTAAGTAGACCAAAACACGAAATTATTGAAGTCATGCGTCGAGAGGACTATCGCTGTTTTTAACAGATTATACTTTTGACCTTCCGGCACTGTTGACTCGGCGAAACTGAACTTATATTTTATCTTATTTCGTTATATTAAAACTGCTGTTGCATTAGGTCAAATTCCCAATAAGTCAATTGCTTTAACATAGACCACGTTTTTAGCTCGGACTGTACTGTTTGACTTACTGGGATTTTTGATCTACAGACACTGCAAACATTGTAGTTTTTGACCTAGCGGCACAGGTATAAATTATTTGACCTTCCGGGACTGTTGACTTTCTGCAACGCGTCCTTTGTGTAACATGTTGCCCCCGTCCCAAAAAATATTAAAACACATAATAGTAAACTACAAATCCAGTATCTACGAAGTAAAAGGCCAGGGACATGAAAACGTACGTTTTTAAATTTTCACTCCGGTATGCATTTCATTACCATTATTTTACTAGAGAGACCGTTGTATTTAACCACAACGGGCTCTGTTGCTAGACCAATATATAGGCTAATATTTTTGCCTAAACAAGATTAGTTCTTGATCCTATTCTCTAAAACGAGCTATAACTCAATAACTCGGTTATTGAACCAAGTAGGGCCTATAATTTAAACATATTTGCTATGTCTGTAGGCCTAATTTAAATGCGTTTGAAGATATTAAAACTGATGGAATATGGATCCGGGTCATAAAGGAAAACAAAAATATCGATATATCGAAAAGCAATCATCGATAGTAATGAATGTTCCCCTTAACAGGAAAGTACCTCATCTAATGTCAGCTTATAGCCTAACCTTGGACATTTAAGAAATTGCAACAATATGTCGTAACAACGGCTGTACGGTAGAAGATGACTCGTGTATTATCTTCATTCTAAAATAAGGCTTCATGCTTCAACCAAAGTGCACGATTTAGGCTATAGTTAAACTCTTTGACCACTGAACAGTTTAAGATGGCTAAGAATGGTACCTGTTAGCAAAAATAAACCAACTAACTTACTTACTGCAAATCACAATTATAGATTTCTATTTTAGCCAAACATGATAAATTTGAAGATCCTATTGTATTTTAGATTCTCTTAAGTTACGGTATACTTAGTTTATTTATAATAAACCAAATCAATGTTTTATCTTACTTCAAGAACTGCAAATCGAACTGGCTCCTGCGGTTTGTCAATGTTAACCTTAATATTTTCAGCATTTTTAAAAATGTCAAGTGATGACAGTTTTTTTGCAGCCGCTACACAGTCAACAAAGTTTGGAATCCTTCCTTTACAAGGTCGTGGAAATCGTACAAGATCTTTGTTTTCCAATAAATTCCAAACTTTGAAGCGAAATGTTCCTTTAGAAACAATATCTTCATGAGGTGTACCTAAAATACAAACATAAAATGTTAGGCCTACAAACGTTACAGTAGTACCCTATGCAGTCATGAACCACCATCTACCGGTACCGGCTACACCACGTGTCCGCTATCAGTAGGCCTAGGCCTACTACTATTTGAACAGCTTGTGTTTGTGTATAAGAGTATGCTGTGACGACTCTTCATAACTCCAGGGAAGTGGAGGATTTTTTTAACTACTTGGTATTAAGGTATTTATAGCCTAGGTATTTATTATTAATTTATTTAGGTACTTACAATTGAAAATTAATCTTTAGGTTCAAAACCTTGTTTTTGACAAACACCGGATCATTCCACAGTTCACAGTGGCGGTTCTACGACCTTGTCAAGAGATGGGCTACCAGAGGGTGTCCCACAGCCCTCTAAGAGGGGAGACCGTTCAGGAGTCCTCCCCCCCAGGATAATTTGGTATTTTTAAAGCCGTTTGGTGACTTTCTAAGTCCATTTTTAATGGCTATAACTCTATCAAAAAACTCAGTCACGTTTTTAGGATAAAAAGGAGGGTTAAAATTTATTTTTCCAGGGTCCAGAGTGTTCATCAAGATTGATAAAACTGATAACTTGTCAAAGAGGGTAACCAGTAATGGCTTAGATGGTCTAATACATTTCCATATTCTAAATATTACCAGAATGGCAATTAAAAACAGTTATACATTAAGTTAACCTTTCTATTTCCTTCTTGAGTTATCAGATGATGGCATTGTTCTGTATTGGTTAGGCCTACATTAAAATTTACTTGACATCACAGATTGTAGGTACTTTATAAGTTACCAGTTATCAGCCTGATAATTAAGACATCATCCAAGTTCTATTTGTTTCAAATATTGAACTTGAGTAGGCCCTACTAATGGTACTACTAGGTGAGTAGGTATTTGAGCTACAGGTAGTCATTTTCATGTACAGTAGACCCAATCAAGTTTGTTGAAGGTGTTTAATCATGTTGAATCTTGTAATCTGGGATTGAGCTGGTTATTACATGCAGTGGTTGTAAATTCATTTCAAATTAGTTGTAAATGGACACAGAAAATTGACAAATTGTTTGGTATATATAGTCTGATATTAACTAATTCTGGAGCATATAGTAGAATAGCTTATTCATAGGATAACACATTGTTTATATTTCTTATTCCATCAAATATAAATGTTGAAATTCAAAATTTAAGGTACTTAACCTAAAAGATACCTAAATTAAAAACTATAGAATTGAGTAAATGATACCTACATGAAAGGGCCTCTTTCGAAGTCATCCCAATAAAAAATGTTAGGGTTCAATTAATTGATACTTAGCAAAATTAACTTTTAACTTGAATGATTCTTACCCTTCTACTTAATGTTCTAAGTTCTAACAGATCGGTTTACCACCACACCACCTGTTCAACAATGCATATTTGTTTGTCGTCAGAGTCACCACAGTCACAGTCAGAGAGGCGCTTTCGCTAATCGCTATATTATACACTACATCCAAGTTGCCAACTGAACGAAGACGAAGTTGGAACGATTGACCAAGTTAAGATTACAGTATGTAGGCCTACATTTATCAAATCAAGAAAATATTACAAGACCAGTTGAAATTGTGTATTAACATAGATAAACCCATAGATGAAACATACTACCATAGACTAACCAACACAAGAAAACTACTCATCCCATTGTAAATGTTGAAGCTCGTTTTTCGTCTCTAGTTCATGTCCGATGACACTGGCCGCTATAGTGTCAAGGGAATTTTGTTTCTATTATTTTAGGTTTAATTTTATGATTAGTGCTTTACTGTTTAACTATATTACCAGATGACGAGTTATTGTTTATGATTAGATAGTTTTTAGCGAATTTCCAATATATAGGGAACTAGCAGAGTACCCGTCCTTCGTACGGGGTTGGCATATCTTAATATATAAAAAAAAGTTGTGTTTAGTTACAGCGTTTATAACTAGAAAACGGTTAAGCTTCACTTACACTACAAATCGTAGACACTATGAGCCTCCAAATATGTAATTCTTAAAACACATGGCTCACTTACTCTACAGATCATAGCCTATACGAGCCTCGTAAATAGTATTGAAGGTTCACTTACTCTTCAGATCATAGTGCCTATTAGCCAAGCGTATGAATTACAGTACAGTATTTAATAATTCAGGAATGAAGAGGTTCACTTACACTACAGTTCATTTAGCTACACGTCACGTGGCTTGTAGCGCATCGTTGCAGGCGTTTGGTAAACCAATACCGCCGTTCTGCCGTTCTGCTTTAGGCCTACCGCACACGAGAGACTTTTTGTCGGCCGACTGTTGGCCATCTGTCTGGCTGGAGTCGGGTGGACAATCGAAAAGTCGTCAATACTGTTTGGTCGTTGACTATGGGTGCGCACACGAAATGACTGTTTACAGTAGTCGTCTTTCGAGTGTCAAAAGGATGTATATGACAGAAACCGCTGTCATATGTCATATGTGCGTTACTGATAAGATTTCGTGCAAGAAAGCTTAAGAGAAAATACTGGATGCATCCAGTTTATAGTCCGAGAACCTTACCAACCTCACCTCAACCTTAGACCCTTAGTCAGATTTACCTCTATACTCGGATTTGAGGAAATATCCAGACAAATTTTTTTGACCAATTGTTAATACTCCGGCTTCAAATACCTCATCCCATAACTTTTAGGGAATAAGCTGTAACCATATGTCTCATGGTGAGACCTGGTCCCGGGACCTATTTACCTTTTCGGTTTGATGTCCGCAGAGGCCAAAAGCACCATCCGTTCAAATTCACACACACACACATATATATATATTTGTCCGTTAACACGATAACTTCCAAAATATTTAAAGTTAAAATTGTCATGTCATTTAAATGTAGAACAAGTAAACTGTTGTAGTTTGCTTGTTTATGGATGTATTTTGATAAAACTTGGCAAATATATTTATGTTATAGTCAGCTATTAATGTTTTACTAAAACACACCCTGAATACCCTCCCTGTAGCAGCAAACCTAGGTACTCATTTATCCTAATTTCATTGAAATAGATTAAATAAAAAATTAAATCAGGCAAATGGGAATTCACTTAGTCTGCAGGTTTGCTGCAGCGGGGGTATTTTTTTATTATGACCAAATACTCTTTCAAAGTCTTTTTATAAAGAAGGGACCGTGCCTCAACTTCATGGATAAGTTTATAAACTTTCTCGTCCCTCAAAACGCTTGCACTGGTAGTTGTCGTCTGTCGAAGCCATAATAATAACAATAACACACAAATAATAATACTTATCATAATAACAATAATAATACACATGATAACAATGCACTCAACTGTCAGACAGACAGACTTTTTAGTCGTCAGTGTGCGCGATCAAACTTATCTCCATGCCTCAATAAGACACGACAGTTGAGTCGGGGAGCAGTCGGCGGGAAAATCGGTCAGCACCAAACTGCCCCGACAGTCGGCAGACTGGTCAGCTTATTCCCTAAAGGTTATGGGATGAGGTATTTGAAGCCGGGGTATTAACAATTGGTCAAAAAATCAACACTCATTCAAGAGTACATGGAAAAATTTGTCCGGATATTTCCTCAAATCCGAGTATAGAGGTAAATCTGGCCTTTCAAGGTTCTCGGACTATAAATTGGATACACCCAGTATTTTCTCTTAAGTTTTCTTGCACAAAATCTTATCAGTAACGCACATATGACAGCGGTTTCTGTCATATACATCCTTTTGACACTCGAAAGACGACTAAACAGTCGTTTCGTGTGCGCACCCATAGTCAACGACCAAACAGTCTTGACGACTTTTCGATTGTCCACCCGACTCCAGCCAGACAGATGGCCAACAGTCGGCCGACAAAAAGTCTCTCGTGTGCGGTGGGCCTTTAACTCCTCCGTTTACTAGTCGTGCAGCCACGTCAGGCGGTTTGCAGCGCATCGTGGCAGGCATTTACGGTAAACCAATACAGTACCGCCGTTCTGCCGTTCTGCTTCTGCCGTTTACTAGTCGTGCAGCGTGAAAGAGAGCTTATTATGTTAATGTATTGTTGAATTTGTATCAAGTGTACTCGTTGCTCGAGCGCAAGCAATTGTCAAGTACCGGTATTACAGGAGCTATTTTAAGACATATAACAGTCATAATTTTCAATTAATTAAATACTCACCTAAAAGTTTATGTATCTAATGGAATTACTTACTGTGTTAGGAACAGTTCGGTATAAGAAAAGTTTCTTGTAAATATTATAACATTTTTTTGAAGATTACCTTTTTAGTGCTTTCTACAAACGTTTCCCAACTTATACCCATACATAGCCACATACATGTTATTTTGCATGTGCATTTTCGCTAATGATAATGTAGCCTACATGGTACCACCATTGACGCAAATATACATATACTGTAGTTGAGGGTTTCAGTCATTTTTTTTTAAATAGCCATCAATATTATCCTCTATACTCAGGTACTACCCGATATACTCCAATTATGTGTATGCCACAAAAGTTAATTGGCTTCATTAAACATGACTTTAGTTGTTTGCTGTATTAAAGTCAATTATATTATTTACCGAGTAGACAATGCACAGTTAAAGGTCCTAATGTTATTCAGTTGGTTTTACATTAACTGTAAATATTTGAATCCTTCAATGCAAGTTTTAATAAATATTTCTTTGAAGTACTGTAGTCCTATACTCCTGAAACCTCCCCCTGCGGTTTCGGGGTTAGAATAGAACCGCAGCCTTCCCGGGCTTGTCGTAAGAGGCGACTAAAAGGGTGACCGACGCTCTCACTGGGAGTCCCTGGGAGTGCCCCTGTTGTGTTTGCAGGGGTTGATGTGTGCTCTGCACTGCCGATGGGTATTCTCAGTGAGTCGTGAGAAGCCAGCCACTTCGGTCCTTGGTCAGGGAGTGCGGCATGGATGTAGAGGTCGGGCTCTACATTGTACAAAGTACCTTGGGGTCATGGTGGACAGCAAGCTCAGCTGGCGAGAACAGATCACCCGTACGGCGGACAAGGCCGCTAAAATGGTTTCTTCCCTTAGTCGGTTAATGGCCAATGTCGGAGGTCCGCGGTCCAGCCGCAGAAGGCTGTTGATGTCTGCGGTCCAGTCCGTGCTCCTGTACGGTGCGGAAGTCTGGGCAGACGCTCTCAATAAGGAGATATATAGGATGCGGCTCGCCCGAGTGCAGCGTCAGGCAGCACTAAGGGTAGCATCTGCCTATCGAACAGTGTCCGAACCCGCCGTCCTGGTGGTTGCTGGAGTCATCCCCGTCAAACTTTTGGCGGCGGAGAGGAAGGCAATTTATCAGCGCCGTGGGGAGGACCAGGCAAGAATTGAGGAACGCGCCCGGACCTTCCAGCTGTGGCAGGAAAGCTGGGAACAGGAGACAAGGGGGCTCTGGACCAGGCGACTGATACAACAGGTCCAACCTTGGGTTAATCGGCGGTGCGGAGAGGTGAACTTCTACCTCTCCCAATTTCTGACGGGTCACGGCTTTTTCCGGTCGTACTTGTTCAGGATGGGCAAAGCCGTGTCACCCGATTGCATATACTGTCCAGGCATTCCCGATGACGTGGAACACACTTTCTTCCACTGCCAGCATTGGGAAAGGCCCCGCCTAGAGGCTCAACAGTTCGTAGGACTGCTGTCGGTGGACACGGTCATACCGATGATGATGGAGGGTGAGGACAATTGGACCTGTGTGTCACTTTACATCCAGGGTGTTCTCCGCGCCAAGAAGCTTGACTTCGACCGGGATGCGGTGTAGGTCAAAAAAATAAATAATGCCAGAAACGGTGCGAGCCCTGTGGGCTTAGGTCACATGTTGGCCTGACTTGAAGTAATGTGACAAACAATTCCAGGTCTGTGTCCAACAGAGTAGAGGGGGTTTTTTAGTGAGTAGTCTGTGATAAACTCAGGAGTCTCACACTACAGGCTGGCTACCTGTGTGCGTAAAAGCATTTTCCCTCCTCACCCTAAAAAAAAAAAAAAAAAAAAAAAATACTCCTGAAACCACTTGACTTTTATGAAACATAGAATTAATTCCCTTGACTTAAAACCTAGAGGTAGTTGCCGTTTCTTAAAACTAACCCAAAATATGCATCTCGAAGATGCTGATGAAAAGTAATTTCGTGATCGTTTTCGATAACTGGGTAATGAAGATCTAACCAGTCGCAAAATAGTCATTAATCATGCGTTGATTAAGCCCTTTGTTGATGGAATATGTTAAGTCAAACTCTAACCTCACCTTTAGGAGGATTATAACACCACATGAACTTACACTTTGCGGTACTAGTTTATACTACTAGTTTACTAACTAATACTAGTTTATAATGTTGAACAGAAACAAATCTAGTGTTATGTTTGGTCAATGAAGGCTTTATTTTATTTAAACTATTACAAAAGCGGGGTAAGAACTTAGAAATGAAATTGGTCA